CACACACACACACAGTATCTCATTCTCTCTATTATTACTGTCCCTTTCACTAAACCCTTGATAATAATAATAATAATAAAAACTTCTATTGACCTGAATAGATGAGAGGAGAAAGAGGCGGTCATGTCTTTGCAGTGGGAAAAAAAAAAAACATTGCCTTCAGGCAACTGGAGACTGCCAGTCTGTACATCCTGAATGTATTATTCACCTTCAAGGTAAACCAGTATTTTTGACCTGTTAAAAAAACAATCATTAATTTTAACTCAGAAGGAATTATTTTTGAAAAGCTCAGATGAAAAGCTCATTCATGATTTATTGAAAAGAGTAATTGAATTTGATGTTTAATCTTGCTGTGTTAATACACAGTGGAGTTAAGGAAAAATGTGAGTGTAAATCTTGTGAATTGAACAAAGAATGTATTAAGGGTGGTATTTTTTTCTGTTATAGACTTTTGTTAGCAAGGCCAAGCTGTTGATGGTGTTATGAAGTTTCAGGTGTCCTTTGTTGACAGATTTTCCAATCATGAACAATTTATGGATTTTCAGGCTAAATGCACGTTGACCATAACCTTACATAACCTATTATTACTAAACTAAATGGAGTATACTGATTCATCTGTCTTTTGACTTATATGTAAGTGAATTTCATGATTACTTGTCTAATGATATGCAGTTTATCTATTTACACAAAATAATAAATAGGCCTATTTTTAAACGAACAGTTTTAGATAGGCTACATTATACACCAGTTCATTTTGGGATTAAATATTTAAGTATTTTCCCTTTCCCACAAAACGTTTGGATAGCATTCATATCATGCAATCCAGCACTCAAGTATGTGTCTGTTTGAAATAAGACACATTGCTCTATATGCGTGTTTGTGAGAGCACATAGCACAGATAAATGAAGAGGGAGAATGGAAGAAAATAGCAAATGATGGAAAAGAATATGAGAGAAATATATGCCACCATAAACGTCAGATGAGAGGCAGTGACGGGACGTCCGACTCATTTCCGCGAATCGATTCTTTTGAACAGTCCGCTTCAAAAAACAGGATAAGAAAACGATTCAGCGATTCTTTTTACACATCAAGTCATCACGGTTCCTTCCATGTTAGCTACATAGGATTATTAACATGCTATAAATCTATCGACACATGTTTATTATGTTTTTATAGCCTACTATTAAGTAGCTATTATTATTTTGCTGTAGCCATGATTCACCTCACAAAAAGCATACAGTAACCTAAATATAATTTGTATTTACAATAAAGTATCTCTTGAATGAAAAAGGCTTTGCATGTAGGCTAGTGTTCCTCATTTTGTTTGTCGCTTTGATAAAAGTGTCTGCTAAATTAATAGCCTAAATAAATTAACGAAAAAAATTAATCTATTATTTTTCACCACATAGACATATTCTATTTCTATAATTATACTTGGTTTGGCTATTAAAGCAATTTAGTTTTTGCTCTATGAATCTAATCATAATAGCCTCAGGCTAATTGCGTTTCGGACGACTCGGTTCAATCTGTTGGTGAATTGCTCATTCGCTCGGACCGTTTCATTTGCGTTCGTAAACGAATCGTTCAGACTGGGTTTGTAAACAGGGAGTTCTAGCTAGGCACTAGGACCCTGCAGGTGCAGCAGAGATTTTTCAATAATGTGAAGTGCAGTCGCGTTCACAGGAGCGCGAGGGCAGCTGCTACAGCGTCCCTCTCGCGCAGCTGCTCTAAAATCTTCAAAACACTGATCGCGAATACGGATCCAAAAACATTGTCTGGGATCATCGTTCGTGGCTTCTCCGCGACGCAGCGCAACATCGCTCCTCATCACCGGCGCATCCAGCCGACATGGCCTCATCCGTGAGCGGAGCGGAGGAAGTGCGCGTGTCGGCGTTGACGCCCCTGAAGTTGGTGGGTCTGGTGTGTATTTTCCTCGCGCTGTGCCTGGATGTTGGGGCCGTGCTGAGTCCGGCGTGGGTCACCGCGGATGACCAGTACCACCTGTCCCTGTGGGAGTCGTGCAGGAAGCACGCTGCCTCCGCGGACTGGCTGTGCGACAGCACGCTGGGGCAGAAAGGGACCGGTGAGACCCGCTACTTTTGTAACTTTGCAGTAAACAATGTTCAAACAGGATGAGCTGCACATACATATTTTAAGATGCGGGGGAAACAAAAAAGACGCAGTCTTTTTAACTTTAGTGAGCTCTGCAACATGGCCCTGGAGGTACATATTTGATTTATGAGATAACAAAAGGGGCCCTTTGCTCCCTAGCGCATCATTATTACTCATTGTTCAGCTCGTGCTTAACCAGCTCTTTCTAAATACTGAGAAAATAGTCAACAATTTGCGTTTTGCATTTCTTTGTCAGATTAAAACAGAGGTGACAAGTCGTTTTTACACATTTAGACCTTCAATGTTACTTGTAGCCAATCTATTACTACTTTAGTAGCCTATTATTAAATATGTAAATCGAGATCTATCCCAATTGTTACTAGTTACATTCTTTATTTCAATTTCTTTTTTTCTAGTTAAGTTAAAATCAGGTTACCAACTACTGGAATAGACAGTTGAGTAGTTGATTTTTAATAGTTAATACTATGTAATGAGTAAGTACATATAATATATAGATAAAAAGATACTAGTTACTGTTGGAGTATTTGCTAATTAGTAGCCTATCACTAGGACTTATTTTTATGTACAAGACTTAAAAAAGAAATCCCAGTGATACTAGTTAGTTCAAAGGAAAACAGCTTGGGACTCGAGCTAATGAAAACAACCTTGAATTCGTCCTGTTTAATAAAAGGACTCTCCAGCCTACAGCAAGTCAGGATTAATCTAATTACAGAGACAATGTTTGTGAAGAATGCTTCATTAATTAAATGATATCGATCCTTAACATTTACTAGGACGCTGCATTTTATTCACAGCTTGTTTGGTGGAAGGGCTTTTGGATGATGTGGGAATGTGTGATGGAATCGGTGGTCCAGCTGGGGTTTCATTCTGCTTTTGTTGTCTACAAAATGAGCCTTTGTTAAGGTCTCCTCACCGTCCAAGGAGTGAGGTTAAGTTTGAGAGGAGAGCTCCCTAGAGGCCCTAATGTGGACAGATTAGTTACCAAGGAAACAAGTGCTGTATTCTAGAAATGTCATTTTGCACTGAAAAAGAAACTTCCATTCTGGCGTCCGTGAAGGTTTACTAGCGAATAAACCGTGGTTTGGGGGCACTTCCCCCTCCATATTAATTTTTGTATGTTGGCAGAGCCACATTTTTTTATAGTTAAGTCTCAGCCAAGCGCAGTTAAGATTTAAGATGTTATTTTAGCTCTGGTTTGCAATAACAACTTGTTGGGCTCTGGACCTTGTCCCGTCATTTTTAAAAAGCACAGTTTGACTCCATATAAAGTCATGAAGCTCCAGTCAAAATATCAAAGGAGCGGCCTGGGTGAATGGCTTCCCTCTGCAGCGCATTATTGATTTTGGGCTTTTCTGTAATCAGTCACTCCATTTCCTCTGTGTTTCCTCTGTGTCATGCACCGTGCATTAAACTAAATCTCATTAGCTTCGCAATTACGGCTGACTCCACAGCCTGCTATATACCAACAGATTTGCTTGCTAACCTTTCATCGACTCCAGGGTATCATTTTAAGTTTATCTCTGTCAATTAAACAACATAGATACGTTAACATGAACGCACTCCCTATTACATGCATACAGAAATGCGA